GAGCGGGTCCCGGGGCAGGGCCGGGCCGGGGAGGGCGTTGTGCTCGGCAGGCTTTGAACCCGCGGGCGCCATTGAGGCAAAGGGGGCAGTCAAGGCCCCGCCGCTTGCCCGAGTGTGGCCAGGAGGTGCTGTGCGCTCGGCTCTGCGGTGTAGGCCGCATAGAACACGTCTGCGAGCCTGGGACTGCCTCCTGTGCGTCCCTCCAGAGGTAACCGAGCTTGTCATCCATCCCTCTCTATCGGTGGTAAAAGTAGAGCTCTTCCACTGTGTAGGCAGTATAGAAGCACCGGAGATAGGGGTCTCGTGAACGGGGGAGGGGGGAGGAGGGGAAGAGTACTTAAGGTAAGGTCGTATAACGATTGAGTTGCTGTATATGAAAAAGTTACTCCGTGTCTGCAAAGCCACAATAAGAACTGCTTTTTGCAGCTTCCGAATACAAAATGTATCAGTTTCGGTCTCTAAAATTGATTTATTTTTGCTTTGAAAGGAGGGGAACTTGATGCAACCCACCGCTGGCCTGGGATACTAGTGATAGCTTGCTAAAAGACAGTAATTTGGTTGCCTGCAGCTGTGTGAACAGGTGTTTTTGCATCCCCTTAGAATTTGGTATGGTGCCTTTATTTCCTATTCCTAGGTTATTTCGATTAAATTTGTTACCTAAAAAATCATCTTGGAAAGAGCTTGGAAATGTTTTTACTTCAAGATCATCGAGGTGAAGTTTATAGGGAGGGTGCTTATTGTTTGGATGGCATACGTGCATCAAATATAATGTTTGACACAAAATATATTTTATTTGTAACTGCACTCGAGCTGAATATCTGAAGTGCCTGTGAGATATGCTCCAATGAAATATATATAGTTACCACTTTGGATGCTTTTAAAACAAAGCTGTGTTTAAGAATCAGGGTTACTTTGTACTTAATTAAAGTGCTTATTTGCGTAACCTAAAGTAGTGAAAATTCTGCTTATTTTTGTTAATAACCTAGGGCAAGATCCTAGGAGAAGAAGTCTCAACGTGCACCATTTTAAACCAGATTAAGTACTCCGTGCTGTCTGCATCTCAGTGTTGCTACTATTCATAAGTGAACAATTTCACTTTGAGAAGTTTATTGCTTTTTAATGTAGCTTTCAAAAGCTGCGAATCTTCCCTGGTCTTTCCAAGTCAGGCTGTTCTCAGTGGGGTATTCCTCATTTCCATGGCAACTAAGGGCAGACCAGGTCTAAGTCAAAACTTTGGTCTGATCTTCAGGGCAGCCCTGCCTTGAAGTGATGCTTGTTGTGCACTCTGTTTCCTTATAGCAGAACTATTCCAGGATTTGTGGTTGTTTTTTTTTTTTTTTTTTTTTTTTACGTTTGCTGAGCTAGGAAGGAAGAAATCCTTGGGGTGCTTTTTTCTTTAAGCAGATTCCATATCTGCTTACAAAGATTGCTACTTTGTTTTTGCGGTGTATGCTAAAAATGGTTGTCAAAGACAAGGAATTCTGTTGCAGGTGGGGGAAGGCTACACAGGCAAAGAAAGCAGCTGGCACACGTTTTCAGTACCTGGAGAACAGGAATGAGGAAGTTAAATGTAAACTTTTTACTAAAACCAAAGCAGAATGATTACTGATCATTGCAATTGGTTGTAAGATTTTTCCTTCTTTCCTTTTTTCCCTCCTCTTTTTCATAGACCTTTCCTATGTTTCAAGTTATGGAATCCTTTTTGCTTCCTTTGTAGGTCAGTGAGGCTTTGCTGGAGCGTTCTAATTGCAGAGACAATGTAGGGTTGCCCTAGATGACAAAGATGATGATCCTGGTCTTGGCTGCGTGCTCAAAAGTCTTAATTTATCTTCCTTACTTGTTGATGTGCAAGGACTTGCTGGCAGCAGCTCTTGCAGGTTTTCTGATACCAGGGAGCTATTCAGGTTATTTCACCCGTATGGAGTATGCAGCGTATGGTAGAAAGACTGTTAAACTGAACAAGAATCTGATGGGTTATATTCTCTCCTGTTTCCGGTCCCAAGGAAGATAACAGGTGGCAGTTGTCCCTTTGGAAGCTGTGTATCTACAGGTTTTAACCCTGGTGTAATTACCCGAGCTGAACAATGTTGTACGGTGACCTGTACTTGAGGCCTGTGTGCTCGAGTTCCCTTTTGCCTGAACAAAGCAAAACTTGCACTTGGGCAGGCTGAGTCTTCCTTGACCCCTCTCTGTAGAGACTTCAGCACTAGAGTTCACAGCCTTGTAGCCTAAGCATATTTACGTGATGGCGCTTTGACGTATAGTTTACTTCCTTAGAGATATGAGATAGCTGCATGCAGTTTTTGTAAGAAGTCTTTTAAAAAGCAATTGTTAATCACTTCATGTGGCACGAGGAAAGTAACAACTACTTTCAAAGTTAGAAATACTTTTCAAAATCCCTTTTTTCAGTTTCCTTATGTTTTAGATTTAGCCTTATTCTTCTATTTGATCTCACTTTTTGAGTGCTCCCCTCCTCTGCCCCCCACCCCCACCCCAGCCTGATCTGGCTGATAAGAGCCTGTTACTATTGCTCTGCTGACAGCCTGCTGGAGTTACTCTGGTGTTCTTGGTGTTTACAACCTCATTGAAATGGGATGCCATCCATATGAATGGAAGACAGTCAGAGTTAGCAATATCCACTGTTTCTGCTTTGGCTGTATCCTTTTAATTTGAGTCAAGATGAAGACAGCACAGAAGATAAATATAACAAGTAATTGTATTGTGGACAGAGACTTAATTTAAAAAAAAAAATAACAACACACAGAAAGTCATTATACTGCTTTATCTAACCTGTATGGTGACATCTTCCGAGTGTTCATTCTTCCTTTTAACTGGGCTTTGGCCCAGAGGTTTAAAGGAACATATTACTTGTCATTATCTGTTCGCTTGTATTGCAAATTTTTCACGTTGTTAAGACTTCTCCCAAAGAATATTTACTTCTGGGTCAATGAAGGATAAATATCCAAAGCAATAGTTGTAAGTTTCGAAATATCCAAAGCAATAGTTACAGGTTGCGTGTCTTGGAGTTTAAGTAAGCTGAATCTTCTGGAGTTGCTCCCAAATTTGGAGTCTAACTTGACAGGTGATTATATATTGATAAATAAAACCCCATACTTTAAATGTTGGTGCTCATTTGAAAGTGCTGTATGTTAGGAGTGGCTGAATCTGGTAGCCCTATAGAGGCAAGGCTGCTGCGGTTCTTTTTCCCCCAGGTGCAGCCTGTATGGAAGCTGAGCAGGTTTTCCTAATAGACTATACATACCTATGTATAAAACACATGCAATATGGATCCCTCTGGTCTGGCCTTGGACAGTCAGTCTGTCTGTAGCTGCCCTCAGGTCTCCCCAGTTGCTGGCACCTGGATGTGTAAACCCTGGAGGTGTACAGTCCCACTCCAGTTGCTGGTACTCAGACTCCTGCTGCATGCACACGAATATGCATATGTACTATGACTCCTTTCAGTAACTGGCCTCAGACGTTTGGTCTAACTAGTAACTGGCACCAGGATTGCCTGGTCTCGCAGCTGCCTCGTGCACAGACATACAGGCAAATGGGTCTCTCAGGTAACTGGTCTGGACCTCTGAGGCTCAGCTACTGAAGAGGCCAGACCTCCTGATCCCTTCAGCAATCAACTCTCAGACCCTCTGGTCTCTCTAGTATCTGGTTCCAACTTGTGGCTTTTGCAATACCTGGCTCCTAAACCTCTTATCCTGCTTGCTGCCTAGTTTGGCTTGATGTCTGTTAGCGATTGCGCACGCTGGCATGCACACCTACATACAGTATGCATGCGCTCCAGTTTGCTGTTGCTGGCACTGCGGATGTCCAGGCCCCTGTGACCTGTCACCCCTTCGCCACTTGCTGGCACTTGGACATCTACACACATACACACACACACACACGAACCTCCTCACCCAGGGAAACAGGAGTAGGATTAATTAAGGTGACAGGACAGACTGTGCTTATCAGGCATAGGGCATGGTCAGACTGACTTAGCAACCCATTTATTCAGCACTGGTCCCTTTTATCCCCTTATCGCTCTGTTCTCCCACACTTGTGCCTCTGCAGTTCACCTTGTTCTCTCCCTTTGCCCATCCTTGGTCCTTCCCCTAAATGTCCAGTAAAGTCTCACCTAATCCCAAAATGCTCCTCCCTGGCATTGCCCGTAATGAGGCCCGTACCCACCTCTACACTGGATCAAAGAAGCAGCAAATATCTTTAGGAGTTCTCTTTCAGATGCCCAAATTTAAAGACATTACGAGGAGTATGTCTTGAGGCAGTGTTCCATCAGGCAGGAGAAGAGAAGGAAGGACAGCAGTCCTTCATTGCTCCTTTTGAGTGCGATAGAAATCCTCCATGTGCAAAAGGCCCGTTCTTATTGCTAGAAGTTCAAGATGAGCATTGAAACAACTTGTTCAAAGTTGTCTGAAAAGAAGAATGAAAGGTGTCCACAGGATTGCCTGGGCCTGTGGTTCAGGGTTGACTCCTGAGCGGTGTGTCTTAGCAGCTGTCACTGCAAGGAACCTGTGCAACTACCGTTACCTTCCTATAACTGCATTTTGTTGCTCTTGTCCTGGCGTGTTCATGCTCCTGTCATGCTCTTAATCAGGTCCTAATTGATATACCTCTTAGTATCCAGCTCCCGAGTTAGTGTCAGGAAGTAGAAGAATCTTGCCTATTTTCTGCCTTTTTGGCATGCTCTTAATGAAATTTCATTTTGTAGACTGTACAAGCCCCTTCTGAAGGTCACCACCGCTTTCCTCATATAGTAAAAGTGGTAGTACTCATCCTTCCTGTAGGAATAGCAATGTGAACAAGACCAACAGCAATAAGTGAACATCACAAGATTTGATATGATGAGTCTTGCTCATTTCTTTGTGGGTGGACAGAGCTCATAATAAATGTGTATAGCAGGGTATATGAGGCTTTTCAACAACACTCCCTTAAATATTATGAGAAAGAGATGTTACTGTGGCAAGCTGGTATCTTAAGTTCCCTTTTGGTTTCCTGTGGATAAGTGCAGTCCTTCTAAAGGGAATCTTTCTGTCCCTCTGAATGCCGTCATAAAGGGGATAGAGAAAGCAGAAAAATCCTCCCATCTAGATTTCAGTTCCACGATATATGAGGTCAAGCTTAACTGTCCCTCTGAACCAGTTATTTTGAAATAGCAGATGGCGTCTTCGTGAAAGTCTGAATTTTTTATGAGACAACTTTTTAAAATAATTTTGTTACAGGCAGAAGTGTGCAGTGATTTTTTTTTAAAGGATTTTAAGCTTAAGTCATGTACAAGAAAAGCTTAGGGAGGGAGTATTAGCTTTGAAAGTTTTTTTTTTTTTTTTTACATATTTTTTCTGGAAGCTACTTGTAGGCTCAGAAGTGGATCACGGTTTTACCAGCTGCTAGTTGCTCTACTATCAGTCAGGAGAGTTTTAGAACAAAAGGGCATGAATAGGGCAGAATTTCCTTCTTAGCTGAACGTATATGCGGGTCAGAAAAAATATATTTGTATTTCCTTCTTTTCTTAGGAATTTTCTTCAGGCAAAATTGAATGTTTCAATGGACATTGCTTAAGATCAATGAGAAAAAGCATCCCACCCTCTTCAGACTCTAGCTTTGACAAAAGCATGGAAATATTGAGTGAAGATGTCAATGGAAGACACTTTACAAGGTAATGTGTTTCCTGTATCTTGTCAGTTTGTAGATTGTGTATGCTGTTACACTTCCTTTTCAATGAGCTGTTGCATGCTAAATCTGCAGCTAAAAATCTACAGCGGAATATTATTATGTTAACTGATGTCAGTACCTTAGAACTGGAGTGACCCTTCTCAGTGAAGGTCTTCTGCTTGTATAAAAATCCTACGTCTTTTCCAAACTCTTTTGAGATCTCTGTTCCAATTGGTTACCGAGCAATTATCTGCACTATTGAGACTTCAAAGTTGCCAAGTTTGGAAAAGCATGTACTTACAGGCCTTTGCACATATGATACGTGCCAGATTGGGTTCTAATTCTTCCTTGTGTCTATAGGCTTTTCTCTGCCTAAACTGGAGCAGTGGTTTTGAAACGTGAAGTTCCCTGTTCTTGATGGAATTAACGCGGTGATTCTTTTCTCCCGTCTCTCCTCCATCCTCTTTTTTTATTTAGGCAATTGGCAAAACTGAAAGCAGACAAAAAGCCTGAAGAATGTAAAGAAGGTAAGTAGTGGTAACTCCAGAGGATCCCCTTTGAACAACTTGGCTTCTAAATGAGGATTGCACTTGGTCATTCCGTCAGTTTCACTTAGCCCTCAAAGTTTTGAACTCATTGGCCAAAATCCGTTGAAGTTGTTGTGAGAACAGATATGTCAAAGATGAAGAATTTCCTATAAGTTTAATGAAAAGAGTTAGATTCAAATGGGAGGATAGCTATTAATCCTTTGAAAGATTGGCGAGAATGCAGTGTGAATTCCAACCTGTTCTTAGGCACTAGAGAATCTGCTCTTAGGTTTCTCTGTTATATGAATTTCCTGGAGCCTGCAGGACACACAGTAACTGAAAGTTGTTCTTGCAAAGAAGAAAGAATACTGCAGTATTATGAATTATAATATATTGCAAGTTAAATAGTAATTCGGACACGAGACGCAGAAATACCATGGAAGTTTGGAGGGTTTCACTGATGTTCAGTGGTTTAACCTGGAACCAAATGGCAGTGCTGGATAAATAAATGCCCTTGGTGCTGTGAGACTGCTTGCTGACGAACCTGTCAGTTCTAGACAGCGTTCTGTCAGTTACAAGCTGAACAGGGTGAAGGTGCCTGAAATACACTTGAGGGGTTTGTAATTCAAGATCTAAAGGTTTAATGTAAATTGTTAAAACTAAGTTTGAGTTTAGTAAATACAGCTAGTACTAGTTCAAGCCACTGCTGTTTTTATACTAACAAGGTGATAAAACTGTTACTTTCTCACTGTCCTCTGTATGTTAGCTACTTTAGCATAAGTAACTGGAACCTGGGGCAAACGATGCTATATGGTAAATAATGGGCAGATTTTTTTAAAGCAAGCTAAAAGCGTGTTCTCCAGGATTTAGGTGTTTATCTTGAGACAATTCTATCTCTTTGAGGTTTTGTGTCACGGTTCAGAAAATGAAAGTGATATGCCCTTAAACAGGGTACTAAAACTGAATGCATCTTAAGAGGAGACTTCCCATGAAAACTTTTTTTTTTTTTTTTTTGGAACATTGAAAGGTTCAATTTTATATCAGTGGAGTAAAAACAGCTTAGAGGTATTTATTATTCTTACTTTTCCAAAAATAAGTAACTGGAGAAACTTTCTTCCTTCGTAAAAAGAAAAATGGCGTGTTTCCTTCGATCAGACTTGTTTTCTGTATATTAAAAAGTTCCTGTACAAGTCACGTTTTAAAGTAGATAGTTATAGTTCTGTTTGTTTAAACTAACTTAAGTAGAATGCTGTGGCGGTGACAATAACCTCTGATTAAGTATTTAAACAAAAACTCAACTCATCTTGAATTTTGTTTACATAGTTTACTACAGCAACGGTGAAAGAAAGAGAATGACATCTTTACAGTCTCAAGATATTTTATGTATTAATGTATTTCAGTCTCCAGATCGCAGAAGACCAGAGCTGATGCAAAAGCTGCAGAAGAAATCCATGAAGAAAATGGGGATTTGGAAGTCCGACGAAGTTGCAGACTTAAAAGAAGTCGTTACACTGCTACAAACCAATCTGTTTTGTTTGATAAACTTATAACAAAGTAAGTATTCTCTGCGTTGCCTTGCAAAATAACTAAAATAATCCATATCAGCAAGCCTTCGTCCAGTGACGTAATACTGGGTAGGCATTCTCCCTCCTTTTGACAACGCAAGGAGGTCCTATTATTCCTGGCAGCGAGAGGTAAATGTATTAAATGGGTAGGCTGAGTGTTCCCTGTATGTTCCTATGTATGTGATACATCTTTGATAACTGTTGGGCTCCTGGTGCCTTCCATAACGCAGCCCTGTCAGGGTTGCATAGCGTGGAATTTCAGGATGTTTGCTCACAAGCAACACGTTCCCATCCTTGTTACCGTTCCGTTGTTGATTGTGGTGATAGGACCTTTGTTCCTTGCACAGATGAAAGTCTCCTCCTTTTCCTCTGCCTACACAGATTTCTCCCAGAATTAGCGTAAATGCATCTTATTTATTAAGTTATACTTGTGATCTTTGGTATTTTGCAGCCAAGCTGGTTTAACCTTGAGTGTTTTGGAAGTAGATAGTCATAGCTATTTAAGTCTGCCAGGACTGCAAATGTGTGTGAGAGGATGAATTTTGAAGGTGCTTCTATATCTAAAGAATTTGGACACAGCTGATCTTTAATTTGCCATTGATGTCTTACTTTTGTGACTGTTGTTTGGAAGACCATTGTACTCGTGCCTTATTTGTATATGGGCTCAATGCTTTCTGTGTTACAAACGAAAGAGGTTCCTTTACGTTGTGACTTTCATTAGATTTAACTTGCTGTCCTCAGCAGTTTTCTTAGCAGCAGAAGCTCCTTTATTTTTAATGAGCTTCTGTTTCATGCTTACAAAATATATATGGTTCTTAACGGTGGTTAAGATCCTGAGGAACACAGGCAAACTGAAGTAGTCCTGACTTCCTGCATTTGTCTGTGGCTTACTTCTCCAGGTGGCTTTTATGAAGCCCAGATTAGCGTTGCTTTCTAGAAGATTTGCAAAGTGTAACAGTAGGGGTGGCCTTCACGTTGTTTTTTCTGTGATTACATGCACTAGGAAGTTTAGATTACGGTTAAAGAGAAGAATAAGCAGCCTCTTAATCTGAGGATGGCTGTTAACTAAAAATGACTTAATGATATCATGCAGAGCAACTTAAGTGCTATTAGAAACTACCATAATTTCTTTCTGATGTCTTACTATGATCTTCAGATTTTTTTATTATTCTCCTGCTTAAATAGATTCTTTTTTTCTCAGTGCTCAGCAATAGGGAAAATAAACCTGAATACAGTGTGTGATTACAAATCCTCACGCGCTTGTTCTAAAATCTCTCCGTGAAAAAGTGAACGTTTGACCTAATTTTTAATTACTACTTATAAACCTTGGCTAAGTATCAATTTGGCTCTGTTTTGTGGATAACATTAAAATGCCATACTGATTATATTTACTGTTTTAAACATTTTTTGTACTTGCCTATCTTTGGTCTTATATGTCAACTTTTTATCTTAGCACTGCAGAAGCAGTGTTACAAAAAATGGATGACATGAAGAAGATGCGTAGACGCCGAATGATGGACTTAGAAGACCTTGGGGTGTTCAATGATGCAGAAGAAGTAACTATTTATTTAGTTTATATATTTATTTATGTATTGTTGTATAAATAACGTATTTCAAATAGGAAAAATGATTTAGTTGTATTTTTAATTTAACTGAAATAACTTAACTCCACAGAGTATTGCTGTCTGAAACAATTTTTTTTAACTACCTAGTTGTAACTTACAAAATTATTGGTATGGCCATACTGCAAGTGTTCTCTAAGGGTGGCAGAAATATCATCTTCAGAAAAGGTGAAACAGCACTGAGATTCTGACATACACATCTTATCTCACACTTATCTCACAATAATTGCCTTATTGTGATTTTTTTGAATGGACACGGTGTTTACAAACATCTGTTTCAGGACTTGGGTTTTTTTCACTTCAAAACTTATTAAAAGCTATGACTGGGGATTAAATATGCACAAAGACTGCCTGGTGCCTTTCATCACATTGGGGCAATTAACTGTTTGTCCTTTTATCCTTAGTTCCTAACTTACATTTCTCATAATGCAAAAAAAAAAAAAAAAATTTGTTTGGAAAGTTTGGTTAGTCTACAGGCTATAAAAAAGCATTGTATAATGCCTTCATGTGTTTGTCAGTGTGGCTCAAGCTTTGATTCCTGTTTACCTGTATTTTTTCTTGATAGCTCCTCACCTCACAAAGAATCTCCTGTGTCACGTAGTTTAAACGTGTTACAGGCAAATGTGTCATAGAAATGTTTTCATAAGTTGACTTAAACTCCATTTTAGAATATTCCCTTGATTAAGAGCCAGAATTTCCTTTTCAGGGACTTGAAGCCTTTTAATTTCTGAACTGAATTTATTGGTGATTACTTTATGTATATTTGTTCCTTTGCCAGCATTGTCTGTGAGCTTAAGTAGTTCTCCGTCCCTGGAGGAACTTCTGTGAAAGTTATATACAGCAATCATATTTCCTCTTAGTTCTGCACTGTTAATTTAAATTCTTCTAGAGTCCTTTGGAATGATAGGCATTTCATTCTTTGAGCAACTTTATAGCCTGCCTTTGCAGCTTTTTGTTTAGGTCTGAATTCGTTTTTTCAGATAGAGCAGAATTAGCCACAATATTTCATGATATCTCGCAAATGCCAGCAGGAAGTCTTTTATGTGTGCTAGGAAAGTATTGCTTTTTCTACTGCAATGTTAGATTATTAATCTGTGATTAACTGATACGCTTAGTTTTGTATCTGGATAAGAAATTTGCAGAAAACTCCACTTTTACTAAGCCCCAGTTTAGAGCAGAAATTCTTATTACTAATCCTGGGTGCCAGAATGATGTCCTCTCCTCCTGGGTGCCACCTGCGGGTAGTACTGCCATCCATTTTCAAGTTTTGGTTCTTTGAGAACACTGGGATAAAAATGGCTGATAGAGTAATATAGTTAAGGAACGTCTTTGGATGTCCTGTTTTTACCTCGCTAATCGCTTTCTGAACGTTTCCTGGGCTACGACTAAAAGTGTTGAGAGAGGCAAGTTAGGCCATGAACTAAATTTACAAGTACAGGTTTCCTCTTAGATGAAAACATGCTTCTGCTTTCTCATATATATTAGACTGAAGGAGGTAAGGTGAGATAGTATGTGTCTCTTGTGATAATAGGTAGCAGTAGATGGTTGTATTCCATTAATCCTTAATTGCTTTCTGCATAGGAGAACTGTATGTTAATTGAATGTTTTGCATATATGCAGTGCCTTGATAAAGTTACTATGTAGGCACCAAGTATGTGCGTATCAGGTGTTCTGCATATTTGAGACCTGATCTTTCCTGTTTCTTTTAATGAGGAAAATCTTGGTGTGTACTCCCGAGGAAAGAAGAAAAAAGACATTCAAAGAACTGATGAAGAAATAGCTGACAATCGAGATGGGAGTGTAGGTTAGTTCTGGCTTTAAGTTTTCTTTACTGCGTTCTAGCCAAAAGCTTTGTCTCAAACAATTGAAGCGAGCTGGACTACTGGATAATTTTCATCTATGCATAATTCTGTATTGCCGTGAGGGTTACAATCCAGAGTCATGGATGCCAGGGCTGTACTGTACTGAGTTCAGAACAGATATGCAACAAAAAAAAGTCCTTTTCAAAAGGCTTACAGCTAAACGTAAGATAAAAGGCAACAGATGGCTACAGACAGGTGAGAATGCAAAGAAATGGACGGTATTACTCAGAATGAGAAACAGTGTTCTTGCTACAGCAGTAGCTGTGACCGTTTTCATGGTTTTGCGCAGCACAGCAAGAATTCTCAGGAAGTAAGGTGGGCTGTCAGATGAAAGCTCCGAAGCGTGAAGATCAGCAAGGGAGAAGATAGTGTTACTCATTTCTGTGTTTAGCAGATAGTCAGTGGAAGCTGCTGTCGGGGCCTGTTTGGAATTAAGAGCTGTCATCTTGGTACTCAGTAGGAGGTAATATAAGGAATGAGGTTAGGTCATGAAAGGGCATAGTAACTTTACATTTGATGTGACAGAACAATGTTAGCTGTCGTTAAGGCATTAAGTTAGGAATATGATCCTCGTGGCAGCTTTCTGAAGGGATCCAAGTGGAGCAAGACTGTATTTAAGGATAGAAAAGGATATTACAGTAATTGGGCTGATCAGAACTCGAGTAAGAGATGACTTCTGCAATACCTAGTGAAGGCAATATTTTTTTATGTGTTATGCCGTCTGTGCAAGACTTGAACACTGGCAGTGGAGACCTACAAAAAGGTTCGAGCTAAATATCCAGGTAATAGGCATTAATGAGCACTGGGGTAATCTTGCTTTCAATCATTAACATGTCAGAGAACAGTCCATGGCCCGTTTTTAATTGTTAGCTCAGACCTAGCCTGGGACTTGCAAACACTCGCTTTGGTGATCAGAACTCCTCATAGAACGGTGACAGAACATTTGGAGTGCCAAGAGGAAACTAGGGAGAGGCTGGGTGGCCTAATGATACCAAGGTACGGCAAGACATGAATAAAAAGACACATGGTCCAGCGTGCCAGAGGCATTTGACTAGTAAGGCAGAATGAGCGTTGGCCAATGGTTTGGTGATCTGGTTGGGAAAAATTAACTTAAAATTTTAGTAAGAGCAGCTTCAATACAAGGTATCATAAATCTAGAGGCTGGAGCTATATGGCTTCATTAAAGTGTGTGGATTTCGGGTAGCTGAGCAGGAGGAACTTGTAGAAAGCAATTACAAAGAGTATGTTGAGTGGGGAAAAAAAAAGGTGTAGTGCAATTCATACGTGAGCGAAGTGAAAACTCTAGAATTTTAAACTGGGAGAAAGCTAAAGCATGCTTTTATAATGAGAAGTGGGCCAGAAGAGAGACAAGTGTGTGAATTTTGGTGTAAAGGAGATTGGATGGGATCAGTGGAGCAAGTGGAAGAATTAGAGGAACAGGGCAACAGAGAAATTCATGACTTTGTTCATCACAAAGAGTGGGGATTTTGGTGACTGCAAACTCATTTCTCGGTTTCCCATGTGCTCTGTCTGTATACCCCGCGTAACTTGCCTTCAGAAAGCAGTTGTAACTTTCTGGGGAAGGAAAGAAAAGTAGTGCTTTTTTCTAGGAATAAAATCTAATTACTCTTAGTGAGTAGGTAGGTAAACAGCTTTTTACATTCCTTACCTGGTGTCCAGCTATTAACATGAGAGGGTATTATTAAGAGCTTGCTAGATAATTGTACTCAGTGTTTTGCATTCTTACCGTTTGCCATGAAAAAAGTTAAAGTTACTTTACAGAAGATAACGGTGTAAGCTTTTCCTGTATGCATTAGATACTGTTTTTCTTGTTGGGGGATGTTCAAACTGGTGACTTGCCTATTGTTGCTCATGTCATCTGTGGCAGAGCTGGGATTTGGAACTATATTACCGTAATTAGTCTTAACCACTGCAGAGTACTAAAAAGAAACTCATTGAAACACTTTCTCTGAATAACAAGAAATAACCTTCTGAAACAACTCTCTTCATGGCAGCTGTATCTTAGCTAAGCAAGATGACAGAATTCTGCCTGTTATCATCACTGAGGCTGGTGACAAATCACCCAGTGATTTCAGCAAGGACAGAACAATAGCTATATATATGTACGTATGTATATGTATGTATACGTATATTTTTTTTATATATGCTCCTCTGCTGATTTCTAATTTGTGGACTGTCTTGCTTACGTTTTTCTTGGTTTTGCAGGCTTTCAGATCTAATACGATGATAATAGTAAATCCCATAGGTATCTGTGTAGTGTGTTTTGGATTCAATATAAATAAGAACAGTATTTAAACAATATAATGTTAGATATTTTGTAAACAGTAATAATTATGTTGAGGTACTCTAATTATAGAATCATCAGAAGAAGGTGAAGACCAAGATGATGAAGATGGGGAAGATACTCAGAAGCGTTATGACCTTAGACAGAGGAAAACGGTTGTACGCTATCAAGCTCCATTGGAAAGTACGTTGTAGGCACAATTGCTCTTAAAGGCTAATTTCTTGCATATAAGTGAGATACAGTTTCTTGAATGGAAATACATATACACATACTCAACTCTTATTTAAATGTCTTACTTTGATTCTGCAAATACATTTTGCTGCATTTATTGCATGCATGTATCCTGTGCGTGTGCCATTTCGCATGCTTATTGCTGGTTTTCATTTACTACGTGCATTAGTCAGTTTCTAATGGATGTCAATGCTATATTACAAATGTAGTGCTATAGTGGTGACTTCAGAAGGTTATCTGTTATAATTGTTTCTTTTTTCTGCTTGTAGTTTAGTTTATAACATCTTCTTTCATTGTAGTATTTTATCAAAGACTTCCAGAATAAGTTTTTCTAGTTCCATATCTGAACGTGTGATTTTAAATTAAAGATCTCCTCTAAGAGGTATAAAAAGACGTACGTACCTTGAAAGAATATTAACAAAACCAACCTGCTAGCCTTACTCTCTTGTGACTTTGTTTTCCTTAAAAAGCAGGCGTGTGTTTTTCACTTGCACTATGCATTGATTAAAAGACACTTAAACTTTTTTCTGGAGTTAGAAATGGGTGAAACGTCACGTTTTCTGCCTCTTCTGCTGTCCTGCTTTATCTTAAAGGAGATTGTATCGCTATTCTAAATTCTTTGCTTTCAACAGAACCAAGGCAACGTAAGATTTTTTTTTCGGGACGATCCTCTACTGTCAGACAAAGATATTCATTCAGAAGTGCTCAGTCACAGAGCTCTTGCTGCAAAAGAACTAACAGGTTGGTGTATGGTTAGTGGTAGTTTATTAGTAGTGCTGTCAGTCACATCACTGAATAGTGCTTCAAAGACTTTTCAGGTTGGTGGTAATTACAGAATAATCATGATCGTTACTGCAATAGTCTGAGGCTATAAAGAAAACCTTCTGTTAGCCGTTAGTTTTTTACAATGCAATATTGTGGGGTTAGTGGTGAGATGATTATAGAAGTATTGGCTGAGAATTCTGTAATTGAAATTCTTTAGTTCTGGATTTGAAGCTGGAACCTCCCCCCCCTCCAAAAATCTTCGACGATTTAATTGTGAAGTATAGAAATCATTTGCTTAAAACATAATGTAGTTAGAAGGAGAGTCTGTTCAGAAGTTTTAGTAGATTTCTAGTCTCCTGTGTCCCATGATTGAAATAAATTAATAAAAACCAACTTCTTAATTTGACATTTGGGTGAAACAGTCCTTGTTTATATGCAAAATTCAATAAGTTGGTTTGTAATTAGTGCAAGTGAAGAAGTTGATACAATTCTTAGCTTAAAGACAGAATCTGATAGGCATCTCAGTAATTACATGTGATACATGGCATTAAATAATATATATTTTCACTTAGCTTTGTATACTGTCTATTTTGTAGTCTGCAGTGATTTTAAAGAAGTCCGAGATCTTAGGTCGAGATCCTATATTCCATTGGCAGGCTGCTTGACCCAGCTGTTCCTGCCTTTCTAGATCCGTATTTGCTTTTAAAGCTCCATGCAATGCTTTCTGGTCTACCTATGGCAGGGAGAAAGAACTGTTAGGGAAACAAGGGAGGATGACCTGGGAAGTCATAAAGCATAAAGATCATGAGACTAAGTAGTTTAAGCTCTCTCAGGATCCCCCCCCTTCTTCACTTGTCCTGCTCTTTTTGGTAACAGCTTTGAACATTAAGTTCAGTGGAAATCAGGGGAAATAGACTCACTAAAACAGTGCAGTTACTTTGCACTGCTCTAGTGTACCATATGAAAGACAAACGGAGTACAGGTACCATTATATTAATACATATTTTTTTAATCACTCAGATACTCTAGTTTTTTTGGAATCAGTCATATTTCTGTATGGAACTACCCTTAAAAAGAAAAATTCCAAATAAAGTGTTAATTGCCAACAAGGGAGGTTGGATTCTGTAAGCAGTTAGAACGTGGTGAATGCTATCTATTGCTGGATATGAACACTTGGTTTATCATTCTCAAAATAAGTAAGTTTAGAAAGAGAGTGTATCAGTTTTTGAAGACCGATTTTTTTTTTTTTTTTTTTTAAAAAGTTAGAGGGGCTTGTGTTTCACAGAGTGAATACTTTATGAAACTTGATTTTGTGAGTGTGTGTGTGTGTCAGGTTGATCGGACAAAATGAGTAATTTGTTTATGAATTTTGGTTGTAAAATAAACATTTTTACCTCTAATAAAAATTGAATTTTGCTGTTATGAGGAAAATCATGTAATGTACCTTGGAATCCGATTCATAAGGAATACAATGGACTGGAAACTTAGATGTCAAAGTAAATTCTGAGGTAGAATGCACTTGATTTCTGACATTACTTTGTGAGTTCTTAATCTCTTTTAAATTACTTGTTTAAATATTTGCAGACGGAGACACGCAGTCCACAACAGTGATTCGACGTCCTCTTCCTCGTCATCCTCATCTGATGATGAAGAGCGTTTTGAGAGGCATAGGAAGCGCAGCCGCAATAGAGCTTTAAGAAGGTTAATGCGATTAGAGAACGGGGAAGGGAGAAATCTACTAAAGAGGAATAGCATCTGCTTAACCGAGAAGTGTTATCCTCTTAATCTTGTACAGATTCTAAATTGTGGCAATATTTAATCATGTCTGTTGAAACTGGTTATTGTAACTTAGCTCTCTCAAACTGTACTTTTAGATTGACACTCTATTAGCAATTGGATTTGGGGGAGGGGCTGTAGGAGAACTCTTACATAATTTTTTTTAATGTAAAATTCTGCTACTCCTTTGCTTTACCAGTGGCTTATTTAGAAAGAAAACTCCCATAGCAGATAATTTAAAATAGAGGAAATGGTGGAGTTTTTGCTACTTTAAATAGCGTTTTAACAGTATTTGTTAATAACTATATTAATCACTAGTATACAACTACTATCTATCTATAAATATATATATATATGTATATATAAAACTATATAAATAACTTTATTAATAACTAGTGTTTGTTAATAACTATTTAACAAATACGTTTCAGGTAGCTGTTTCTGAAATGCATGTCTTTTTTTGCACGTATTTGGGAAAGACCAGTGCTGAGTGGCCTTTCGTAGCGTTAGTCCACACTGACGTAAGTGCCCCCTTGGGGCCTGTAGCTTTTTGAAGGCAGAAACAAAGAATCTTTTAAAGAAGTGAGTGCGAATGGGGGGTTCTTTCATCACAGAAATGAAGGTCAGTTCCCAGTATCCACGTGTGGAATAACTGGTTCTAATCTTGTATTCATATATGTGCCACGTTGACTGGCACGGGATATTCGTAAGTGCTGAGAGTTGCAAAAGTAATTACTCACCTCCTACTCAGGTGGTCTGGAGTGACCACCTTCCTTTTATTTACTCTTGGACATGAAATGCGTAACAATTTGAATGAATTTTTAACCATTCAAGAAGTTTATGGAAATTTGTAAGGTTTTCTACGTTTGCTTCCCAGCATGAAAAAACAAGACAAAAAAATGCAAAATCTTCTAGCTGCATCTTCAGTGAGAAGGTGCCTTTCTCTTTCTCCTTAATTCAAATCAGGTGTCTTCCCCTAAACTTTCGGAAAGATGAATTAAAGGGAATTCACAAGGATCGAATGAAAATTGGAGCGAGTCTGGCTGACGTTGATCCAATGCAAATAGATTGTTCGGTAAGTATTTTTAATCTGTTGTGTTAGTGGGACTTTTCCAGCGTTTATGAGAACTTTCTGTAATGTGCTATCTACAAGCACCATCATTTAAGTTTTCTCTCAAGGAACTTTGCAATTATCCTGAATGTTTCCTTTGTGCCGGCATATAATGATTTCTGATGGAACCTCTCTAGGTTGCCGCTGTCTTTAACGTATAAAATGTATTCTGTTGAATTTATCTTTAGGTACGATTTGATGGTGTCGGTGGTCTTTCTGACCACATTTCAGCGTTAAAAGAGATGGTCATTTTTCCATTGCTTTATCCAGAAGTCTTTGAGAGATTCAAAATTCAGCCTCCAAGGTAACATACACTTGTTGCTTGATAGCCCAGCTGCCTTCCTCGCCTCCCCACTTTTTTTTTTGGTTAATACTCAGGTATCAATTGTAATACTTAGGACTTGCAACTAGAATGTTGCAGTGTTTGTTATTTTGCTAAAATAAAAATCTGTCCTCTTCTTAAATAGCCATATTGGCACTGCATTATGAAATAGAAGTGTTAATTTATAGCTGCTAACTGATGGGGTAACTTTTTTAGGCATACATAGTGTCGTTCCTTGGGGAAGGTTAATGTCTATAGATTTAATGGTTAGTTTTATGTATTCTCAGTCGACCAAACTCGATCATAGTGTGTTGAAATATGACTTTAAATTCTCTGCTTTCAATAACTTCAAAAGTATTACAAATAACAAAAATAAAACATTTAAATGTTTTGCTGTTTTACTCATGGAAGTTCTCTTTTAAACAACAGTATGCTAAATTTTCTAGCTGATATTTTAAGTATTACATGGAAATGCAGAAAATCCTTCCCCTCCAGCTTTAGACTTCCACCTCATTTATTGCTAGCAACAAAGTCTGGGAGACGATATCCAATAACTTAAAGTTTTTTAAGGTGGAGTGGAGTGCTTTACTATCAATCTGGACTTTTGTGAAAACAAGAACGTGCAGTATATTGCTGAAGAACAAGTTGGTGATATATAAATTGTCTCAGTCCATTCTCAGATTCTGCGCAGAAGTTTGCTCTTGTTTGGCTCCACTCTGCTGTAGTCACCTGTGTAGCCTGTCAGCAGTTTTGGAAGTGCCCTGCTGGGACGCTGCGCTCTCTTCTGAAGCTTTTGTACATCTGAGTTATCCCCTTTGTTCAGTCGGTTTACTGTCATGTGAAATTGTGTAGAAACACAAAAATGACTTTTCTCACAATTTAGATGATACTGTTATTCTGGACATAAAGCGTTTTGGGTAGGAGGGCGGGGTTGTTCGTTCTAGGGATGGGGGGGGGGTTGAAATAGGCATTTTTGCATGATTTTGTCCTATGTGAATCTCCTTTTTATTACAGAGGCTGTCTATTCTACGGTCCACCAGGGACTGGAAAGACACTGGTTGCTCGGGCACTTGCTAATGAATGTAGCCAAGGAGACAGGCGAATAGCCTTTTTTATGAGAAAAGGTGCTGATTGCCTAAGTAAATGGGTGGGAGAATCTGAACGACAGCTTCGTTTACTATTTGATCAGGTAAGGTTAAAATGTGCAGTATGTTCTGTCAGAGTTGTAACTGTAATGTTCTGTGATGAATGGTTTTAAGGAGAGCTTGTTCTTCTTTCTGTTTTGTCAGATTCTTCCGTTGAAATGGGAATATTAGTGTTTCCTTTCCCAGTGCCTTCATCCTTTGGGTCAAGGGCTTGAAATCTTGGAGATGTGTTGGGAAAGATTGAAAAGCACACCAAAAACCCCCCTCAAACCAATAATTTTTCCCACCAAAAACACGGGAGAGATTACAAGAGATAATGGCTTAGATTCAGAGGGGAACGGATGCGGGCTGAGAACATGGTCACAGAATCACTAAAACTCAAAAAGGAAGCTTGCTTCCACGACCTGTAATTGAATTAAGTTCTAATTCTGTTCGCTGGTTGCCAAATAGCTCTTAAAAACTACTGTTACGGTTTGTTTCCTGTCACCCAGTCACGATTGGTTACCATAGGCTGCTGTCTTCTGTTACTCGTGCCAGTTACTCCGTTAACTCAATTACTAGAGATCTCTGATCTGAAAATCTAGTTCCAATGACTTTGCAACCATAGTGCTTTTCAGGCATTTCCTCTTTGAATAGCACTGTTTTACTTATGTCAATATTCCTGTATCCATGTTTTATTCTAGGCCTATCAGATGCGGCCTTCCATTATTTTCTTTGATGAAATAGATGGCCTTGCTCCTGTGCGGTCCAGTAGACAGGATCAAATTCATAGGTACTACGTTTTTTGCATCTACATATAATCTGCTTGATCTTTGAAAAGACGACTACAACCTGTTTAACTTTATATGACACGTTATCCTGAAGACTTGTAGCTCAATTATATTAAATTTCGCATGACTTTAAACAATAGTTCAAAACAATTCACTAAGCTTGGTATCAGCATAACTTTTATGTTACCTGATCTAATTTTTGAGCGTCTTAAAACGAGTTCTTTCACTAATCAACATCTTATGAGCAAAACCTTGTCCTTTTTGAGCGACCATTGGAGAAAGTCATGCAGAACATAACAAAATGTACTAAACCAGTGAATCAAAATGATATTTTTCTATTAGTTCTATTGTATCAACGCTTCTGGCACTTATGGATGGCTTAGATAGCAGAGGAGAAATTGTTGTAATTGGAGCCACGAACAGACTGGATTCTATAGATCCTGCTTTACGAAGACCTGGACGCTTTGACCGGGAATTCCTTTTCAGCTTGCCAAATAAAGAGGTAAGTACTTCTATTCAACCTTAATGCTCACGCAGCAAAGTCTTTCTTTATAACAGAACCGTGTAACAACACAGTAGCATGGAGCAGTTAAGTTGGAATGCAGTATTGTACAACTTGCACAAACAAGCAATATCCTGAGAGACTGTGTCATATTGTGGGGAGTGGATCTGGTATGAAAGAAATGATACATGTACTAGAGAACTCCTTTCTCCCCAAGTAAAACTGATCAAGGCTAAAATCGGGTGTTTCACTTCAGATGGAGCACGTTTTTCTCTCTTCCCAAAGTGGTTCGTGTCTGTGTAGTCGTTCAGTCTGCTTAGGCGCGTTCCTTCTGAAGTTGTGTTCTTGCTCTCAGCTCTTCATTTAAGAAAGGGTAGGGGACATACTTGTGTTTGATAGTTCCCAGGCAGGGAATCCTGGGAGCCACCCACAGCTATTTTGGGAACTGACATTCTTACTGGTATTAACAGGGAGTTGGATGAAGATGTGAAGTACGCGACATAGTGGCAAGGCTTGGGAAGCTTCTATTTGATTGGCATTATCTAAGCAATGAAAAAATGGGTATATAGCAACCAAAAGTAAATATTCTTTTTTTAAAAAAAGAACCTCCATGTGAAACAGTTTTTTTTTGGTGCCTTTTGTTCTGGCTATTACTGATTCTTTTCTTTTTAATTAGCACTTTTTGGGAAAAGTACTTACTGGATTGGAGGCATATGCAAATGCACACAACAGTATATTTAACATTTAACGTTTGGCTCCCGTTTTCATGTGCTTTCATGAATAGGAGAGGAGGTGGCATGAAATGGAGTTGTTATATGATTTGCTAGCGTGGAAGAATTCTAGAAATTTCTGCTGTAATTAATCTGTGTACCAGGAGATACTTCACTGAATCTCTGGCTAAGATCAGAGATGAAGATAGAGAAAACAATGTTTTCTGGATTAGTGATACTGGCTTGAATCACAGCTGTTCTTTTGTAGCAACTGCAGCAATTTAAAACAGTGCTAGGACTACTTTGCTTGAATGAACGAACAGAAGAGCAGATACGATGAATTGATGAGTCTGTCGCCGTGAAGTTTTGCTAAATTTGAGAGAATTTTCTTGGAGAAGAAATCCCTTGTTTCCAGCAAAGTTTTCTATGAAATTTTTTTCCCCGAGATCATTAGGTCTCATATTTGTCGAAACTTATGTCCTATAGAAGCTATACATGCCTTTTGTTTCAGTACAGGTCCCCAGAAAGAGTTTAATGTAACAAACTGAGAATTATTAAACTTTCAAAACGTGGGGAGTGAATTAATTGAACTTTAAAATTCCTAAAAATGTAATTCAATCACCTATCTTAATATGTTAATGTGAGGGGTTCCATCCCCCCCTGCCTTTTGACTTAAGACAAACTGTTGCCTTATTATCACTTTGTTTCCAGGCTAGAAAAGAGATTTTGAAGATTCACACACGAGACTGGACCCCTAAGCCACTGGACATGTTTCTTGAAGAGCTTGCTGAAAAATGTGTCGGTAAGATCAAAAATGAAATGAGTTACTGCATGTGACTGAGTCCTAAGGAGTCTTAGCTCATATCAGGCAGTAACCAAGCTCTCGCGCCTTGCTGCAGAATTAGCCAATGAGCCAGCTGGCATGTCTTGCTAGCGATTAAAGTTAGATGCTTTCATCCACTTTCTTTTCCCCCCCCCCCCCCCCCCCCCTCGGGACACTGAATGGCTTTTCGGGCATATTCCTCAAGAAAAATGTTTTGCTTAGAAAGCTAATTTGTAAGCACGGGATATCAGGCTGCAAGCCAGATAACAAAACTCTCCTGCAGAGCAGTAACTCTTTAAATTCTCTATTAAACTGTTCCTTTTTGAACTGCATACAAAGTCTTTGCAGGTTGCACTTTGGAAACTGGGTTCTTGACTTTTCTGTGTTGCCTGAGACTGACACAACATTCACTTTGATGCTTTGTTTATTAGGATACTGCGGTGCTGATATTAAATCCGTGTGTGCTGAAGCTGCCCTCTGCGCTTTGCGCCGACGCTATCCTCAGATATACAGAAGCAGTGAGAAATTGCAGTTAGATATCACTTCAATTAAAATAACAGCAAAGGATTTTGTCGTGGCTATGCAGAAGACTATACCAGCTTCACAGAGGGCTGTGGCTTCACCTGGACAAGCACTGTCACCCATTTCTAAACCACTGCTTGAAAATACGTTAGAGAGAATTTTAGAAGCCCTGCAGAGAGTATTTCCTCATGCAGAGCTTGGACTAAAGAAGGATCAACAGCAAGGTATAACAATAACGTGCACTCCTTAAAAGCCTGCACAGCAAAAACTTCTCATTTGTGCAATCAACTTGTACAAACCTTTCTGTCACGACAGGATTATTTTTAAATGGTAGAATTTTATTATTTGCATGTTCGTATCTTTATTCCAGGAATATACAGAATACAGTGCATAGTTTTTATTTTGGATTCTAAACTGAAATGAGCAATGGGAGAGCTGTGAACTACTCACCGTTCACAGGGGGGGAACTACGTGTTATCTACTAAAGCATCCTGTTTCTGACAGTAGCTAGCATCATATTTATCATTTTTAGAGATTGATTTAAGTTTTGAAGTATGAGTTATCTCTTTCTCTTTCAGCATAAATATTTCTTCAGGGGCAGGGGAGGTTTCTACACAAATATTTCTAATTCCTTTATGAACAACTTCAGGATGGAGGATAGCAGTATAACTGATTTAAGTTAAATATTATTTTAGCTATCCTCATCTTTCATCATAACATTTCAATTTAAATATTTGTGGCTCACACTGTAGGTTTGCATGTGCGATCGCGTGCATCGTATTCCTTGGCGATATCCTAGTAGTTTTTACTCCCAATAGAGTTGGTAGATTTATTTTTATTGGTAAAATAGAGGCCGAAAACCACCAACAAAATGAAAGCAGAGAGGCTAGGGGATTGGTAATTGTTTCTCTCTATTGTCTGCGTCTGCTATTTCCTCCTTCGGGGATCTTTAAGGAACTTTATTTGAAAGATGTGTTAATCTGTATATCCTGGCTCAGCGGGCCTCCGACAAATGGGAGTTTGTAGCCATCGCGTTCACTTAATTCCCATGCTTCTACTGTGGGACATTGTTTCCAGAAAGACGCAGCCTTATAGGTTGTTTAGGTGTGTAGGAACTACAGAAGTTGTTCATGATAATCACATATCTTTATTCTTTGGGGGCGGGGGAGGGGACTGAGTTTTCACCAACAAAGAAACATACTTTATGCAAGTCGTGAGACTTAGGAGAGCTTTGTAGAGACTCGTGCAGTCTCTTTAGACCTGTGGTAAAATGAAGTCTCTGGAAATAGCATTCAGTGTGCGCCCATCGAATGAAGAAATACACGATAAGTGGGTTTCAGCACTGATTTAGAAGCTGTATTAGAGCACGAGAGAGATGCAAATTATTCAGGAAAGTTAACAACCCCCTCTTGTCTTTCAGATGGTATAAACCATATTTTGAAAAATGATTCGATCTATAGTGATGAGGAGTCACCTTCAGTCTTTGAAGATAAGCTGTCTCATAAAATGCCTGGTAGACAAAAGGAAAAATTCCTCAACTTTAACAGGTAAATACCTGCCTCCTTTTAGATTCAAATTCAGGTTGCTGGATCTTTGTAAACAGGTTTGGCTGTTGCAAGTGTGAGGGGTGGTCAATGAGGGAGTAAAGAAAAATTTGTGTGAGATCTTTGACTTGAGCCAGAAGAGGTACTGCAGTATTGCGGCAACAAAAAACAAACGCTGTTCACAAACGCATTTCCTAATAAAGCAAGATTATTGGGAAGTTTATTTCCGATTTGGGTTGGTAGTAAACAGCACACAAGGAAAGATGAAACAATTTGAATGACTGAATTAAATACGGCATTACCATTAAGTACATAAGACTTGTAATTTAACCAATACAATTTTGCACATCTTCAGATACAGCTAATGTGTTTCAGTGCCCGTGTTAATTTTTTTCCTGAAAAGTTCTGCTCCTTCCTTCCCACCTTCTTCAATAACTGTTGACCAATTTCAGCTAAATTTGGCAGATGTAGAGATCTCGGAGCTATTTAAGCCCAAGATCTAGCTCATAGGTAGTGAAGAGATCCAGCTGGTGTGCTGAGGGAGAAAATGATCATTCTCCCCCGTATCAGGTAACTGACCGGTTGTCCTGTGAGTGTTTGGTTGGACAGTCACCACGTATGATTTAGGGGCTATTACTCACCCAGCCAACCAAACAGCAGACAAGGTGGGGATTAGTGGGATTGCTCAGGGGCTGTATGGTGTGAATCTTTAAGCAAATGGGATTTAGTAGTCTTCCTGATCACAGAACAGCTTACTACTAGTTAGAATGTGGAGAGTTTAAAAAAAAAAAAAAAGTACAGAGAAAAGTAACATCTATGTCTGTATTCATTACTTGATTTTTAAACTTCTTGTTTTCTAATTGTTGTTCTAGAAATGCTTGTTACCAGCCAACATCTTACAGGCCGAGGCTCTTACTAGCTGGAGAGCCAGGATACGGACAGGGTTCTCACTTGGCACCTGCAGTAATACATGCTTTGGAAAAGTTTGCGGTTTATACACTGGACTTGTCAGTTCTGTTTGTTAGTGTCACATCACCAGAAGAAACATGTGCACAGGTATCTTTTTTTCTCTTTAATCTCATGAGATTCACTGACTGTATGTAAACTGCTCAGTGAGGTAAGTGAAATTCATTGTTTTAATAGCGGTGACCTGGTTTTAACGTGCTTTGTGTTATGTTTATTTGTGTCTGAAAATACTCTCTTTTATGCTGAGTGATATAGAATAAGGATTTTGTACGTGACCATGTTCACTGTTCCACGTTAAACAGTAAGGATATAGCTAGATATTCAGGAAGCGGAAAGATGCTGCCGGTAAACCTCTCTTTATGGCAAGAATTACTGCTGACCTCGGTGGGATCCAGAAGTTGTTTTTGTTGCCTCCTAAGACTTGATCCTTCCAGTAGGTGGCTCTGTGTCGGCCTGATTGCACGTCATGCACTTTTTCTAGCCATTTGTTTGTTTGGCTGGTTTTTGTTTAGTAATAGTGTAATGCAGTCAAGGTTTTTCGGGAAAGAAATGACTTGCTTTTCTTTCTTATAAATATACAGCTTGTACTGTTGCAGCATATGCAGTAAAAGCACTTAAACTCCCAGAACGCTTTTATTGGTACACTAATATCTTAAATAGAAAAATACAGTATAAATAGATTTAGTGCTCTTTTGTTCCCTTTTATTTTTGGACGGGAAATATATTTTGTTCTTTTTTCATCACTGTGTTATAATATTTTGACCTTTTATTAGAAGCATTTGAGAGCTGCACAAGTAAGGACAGATGTTATATGGCTGGATACCCATCTGTCACATAAGAGGGACGTTTACTTTTTGGTTATGTGATGGTTGCATCTGTGGTCATATAACTGCAGCGTCTAGTCAGCGCGTAGATATACTCCTAGTACTTTCCATTTTGTGACCAGACCTGCCCAGCTGTTGATCACCTGAAAAGGTGCCCAGAGCGATTCATCATGTGAAAGGACACTTGCTACTTCCTTCGTGTGGTAGATTCACGTCCGTTCACGTGATTGAGGTACCTACCAGCTGCAGGCAATGGCTTGTGATCTTCCAGAGCATGTAATCTGGTCTGACGGATCGTCTGGAATCAAGAGACTGCAAGCTATATAGCTATTCAGACAGGCTGAAGATTGGTAACCTCTATCCTTTATTAAAAGTTATAACTGGGTTTCTTTACAGGGTCAGCCCTCGCCTTTTCACATAGGCCTTCTTGTTTGTTCTGCCTGTGCTCCAAACTGACTGGCATACAAGCCCGTCCTGAATTGAAAACTGCGTAGTCACAGCGGTGTAGCAATTTACCCACTTAAATACATCTTTCCGAAGGGCTGGTGTTAGTTTTTGGAGCCCATCGTGACATTAATCGAGTTGTGAGGCTCTTTGGAAGTCAACTTACACCTAAGTAGTTTTGAAATGAGGCAGTGATTCGAATCTGTTTCTGTGTGTGTAGCTTTGTCTATAATGGAGTCCAAGTAGGAATTTTATCCTATTATTAACAAGTGGGGTTTTTTTGTTGGTTGGTTTTGGCACTTTGTCTTTAGGTACTTTTATTTTGTAGGATAGTTTGATCGATACACAGTTATTTATTAGCTGCCTATTCTGCCTGGTTCATTATTCTTACCAAAACTTTCATTTTACTAGTTGATCCGAGAAGCTCAGAGGACAGCACCAAGTATAATTTATATTCCGCATATCCATTTATGGTGGGAGACAGTTGGAGTTGCACTGAAAGCTACTTTTACAACATTATTACAGAACATTCCAACGTTTGCCCCAATTTTGTTGCTTGCAACATCAGATGTATGTCATGCAGATCTTCCAAAAGAGGTATTTCTATCAATACTTTTCCTACTTTTATTCAGTTTCATTTTAATTTATGAATCCCTTGAGCATCTGAATACTGTGCTCTCTTAAGCAAATGGATGCTTTTTATTATTAGGACACCCTACTGAATCTCTTAAATTTGCTTAGACAGAAAACAGTACTGAAAACATTTGTCTAAAGTGTTTCCTAAGTTGAGATTCACTTCCCTGGTTTTCCACACACATGCTTATTAGACAGATGTAAAAATTTACTTAAGAGAATAATTCCAGCGACTTCGACATGTACTTAGTTGTCTTCCTAAGCAAAGTTCAGTAAGAGTACATCCTTAACTTTCTAGAGCTCTGAGAGCTTGCACTAAAGTAAGGTGTTTAAAATATGAAACAGGCTGTTCTTGTTCTGATTATTTTGTCTCGGTTATGCGTAAAAAATCTGAACTGGATGTGTTGATCATCAAATGCTTTCAAAGTGCTCAGCTTAGAATTTGCACAGAAGCTTTCGTACTGTTAATAGATTCCTTCTAAAATAAATATTGAAACTCCTCCTCCTCCTTTTGCTAGTAGAAATTGAAAAATGGAATAAAACTTGGAAGCATGCAACCTCAGAAACCTTATTTAAATTAGACAACCCTTCCCCCCCCCCAAAAAAAAAAAAAAGAAAAAACAAAGAACCCCCACTTATTTGCTGAACCCTACCTGTCCCCTCTGTGGCTACTAATAAGGGTTCTCAAACTAAAGGGCAGCAAGGCAAGTAAGTACAAAATAAGTAATCTCAGAGGTGGTAAATGTCATCACTTTATCAGTGAATCATATGGTACCTTCATTGAGCTTTAATTCTAGAGGTTTTCCTTAAAAAGGATATTTTATTTGCTAGGCTAACCTAAGAAAATCTAGCCTTTTAATGCCAGGAAGATAACTTTACACAGTTTTTCTTATTCAGATCATTACTTACCTTAATTTAAACAGGTGTTCATCTTTTTGGAGTAGAATATGAATTTCAGTGGTCTTGTATCTGAAATGTCTTTCCTTCTTATGCCTTAGATACAAGATTTGTTTATTAATGATTATGGAGAAGTTTTCAATATCCAGTTGCCTAGGAAAGAAGAAAGAAGAAAGTTTTTTGAGGACTTGATTGTAAATCAAGCCGCCAAACCTCCTGCATCGAAAAAGAAAGCAGGTGAGGATATTCTACAAATAAAACTTTGCTAACTGTACGTTAACAGCCATATAGTATTTGTTTTGGTAATAGATTTTCTATAAATAACTTTTTGTATGCTTGTATTCGAGCACCATAAATTGGCTAAACTTTTCCAATTAACTTAAGTTTGGCAGGCCCTGGAAGTACTGCCTGTGGCACCGCCACCCGAGCCTCGACAACTAACAGAGGAAGAAATAAAACAGTTGGAGGAGCAAGAGGAGGATACACTTCGTGAACTTAGGATTTTCTTAAGGGATGTTACTCATAGACTTGCTGTTGACAGGCGTTTCAGGGTCTTCACAAAGCCTGTTGACCTAGAGGAGGTAAATTAGCGATGATCTGTAATACCATTTTGTCTGTGTGTATTTATAATTGCCCAGTGTTTGTGTGTTCTTTAGAGGAACGTTTATCTTTGTTTTTAGCACTGTACTAATAGGATTCTTTCAAGGAGCAGAAAGTGTGTTTTGCTTTTAGTTTTGCTGACTCCTTGAGGCTCTCAAACGTCCGTTATTTGAGTATTCACTGAAATCTCTGGTTTCCGTCTAGAAAGTTAGACGAGATATCAGCACAGTTTGCTCGTGAAAAGGCTTTGATGTGTAGGCACGTTACAACACAGAAGAGCATAGAGGTCTCTCTCATTATAATTACAAACAATATTTATAGGTCTGTTTTAATAAAACTTGAAGCTCTTGCTACATTTTTGTAGACTGTCAGTAGTTTCTATGGGAACAGGAGTAGCAGCAGCCATTTGCAAAATAGATTTAAAGAGTTTATTCTCCACTTTTGTGTGTGGCTCCCCAGTATGAGATCAGCCGTAAATGTCACGTGGTTTCACCCTTCTACCAAATATTTAATAAGTCCCTTTTTTTCCTCATTTAATTTATTGAATAAGTCTATTAAGCTAGAGGTATATACTTCAAAGTCCGGTGTACTTTTAATATGGCCACGTATCAGCAAGGTCCTCTTCCCTTCGGCATCCACTGACTTGTCTTTCCCTTTCCTTCCAGGGTCTTGAGGTGTGAATAATCTAAACAAATATAGGTGTCCTCATCTAAATTAGTCATTAGGCTCTTCTTATGGTCTGAGTAAAGAAATAGGCTCCTCTGGTTCAGATCTCTCATCCTAAAGTAGATACCTCGAATAGATATTTCAAAGGTGCAATTCATGCAGCCTATTTCTTGCTGCAAAGAACAAAGACAATCACGGGTGGCTTACTCAAGTGCGTTTACTGTGATTTTCTGAAGCTAAGTGAAACGAATCCTACTCTAGGTGTCTGTTCCCTTCTCTGTCCCATGTATGCTTCTGACCTTTCTGCTGCTTTGCTTTTCCCTTCCAGTCTGTCTCTTCAAAGCCATTGAAAGAGCCCTTCCATTTTCAAGAAGCTAACTGGTTAATTTTAGCATCTTCTGATATGTCACAAATACTCAGGCTTTTTAAGAAGTCATATATTTGCATTTATTACAATAATTAATTTTGGTAGATACTGTGTAAGTCTAATAAAGTCTCTGAACACGTATATTTAATTTGTAGGTACCTGATTATGTCACAGTTATTAAACAGCCAATGGATCTTTCAACAGTTCTCTCTAAAATTGACTTGCACCAATATCTAACTGCAGGAGATTTTCTGAAAGATATTGATCTAATCTGTAGCAATGCGTTAGAATACAACCCAGATAGAGATCCTGGAGGTGAGGATGTGTCTTTATCCCTAATTTAGACAACTTTTAAAATGTATAGATTGATAAGTGTTGTCTGTGGACAATGGACTTTGGATTAGATCACTTTAAACATCCACAGAGAGCATTTCTTGCCAGTTTGTAAAAATACTGTAGCATTAAACTACTTTGGGATGAAATTACGTGATACTGGTGTTAATAAGTAGTACCTCTGCCTTGATTATTAACTTTTTTGTTGTTTATGCTAAAAACATTCACTGAAATAACTTTCCGAACCTAACTGTGAAAAGAGCTAATCTTTTCATTATGATCACAATAAAGGATTTCACTAGCTGGTAGAAAATATTCAGTTCTGACTATAAAATTGCAGATCGTCTCATTAGACACAGAGCTTGTACTCTGAGAGATGCTGCATATGCCATAGTAAAGGAAGAAATGGATGAAGACTTTGAACAACTTTGTGAAGAAATTCAAGAATCTCGCAAGAAAAGAGGTGTGTGTTTTAATCCTAAGGATTTTAAGATTTGTCTCAGTATTTGTAACCAGAAACGCAAGATAAAATTCTTTGTCACCTGTTCTTTATTGAAAGGTTGCAGCTCTTCAAAGTATGCTCCATCTTACTACTATGTGATGCCAAAGCAGGACTCTGTTTCTGGCTGTAAGAAAACTGATCACAAGTGTAATGAAAAAACAAAGATGCCTGTGGTGCCTGTAGATTCCAGTACACCCCTGTCTAATGGCAAGTTGCTTTTTTTTATTTTAGTTTTTTTCCTCCCCTCTCCAGACTTTCTGGGTGAAATTGCTAATGCCACTGAGATTTTCTCTATTCTTGTGACGTAACAGGTTTCTGTGGTGCCAGGTTCTTTACACCAGAAGCATTACATTTTTGAATTTACTTTAAAAGGCGAGGTTAATCCAGAGGACGTTTCACTCAACAGGGTTATGAATTAAAGTCTAAGAGCAGTGTTTGGTTTACCTTGTAAAACACCTGTCTTTAATGAACCAGCTGATGTTTAATGGCCCCTAAATTGCTAACTCTTGAAATAGAAAATGTTGTATGTGGCTGTTTCTGAATATTCTCGTTATTCTAATTAAAGGAAACAGTATATTTTTTTCCTTTTTGCTTCCTTTTCCTTTCCTTCTTTCTTTCCTTCCTTCCTCCTTCTCCCATGCCAAAAATAGAAATAGCAATACTTCTTACTGTGATTTCCAGTTGAAAGGATTAGACCTGCAAAATAAAGGGGAAAAAATAGGGGAGCAAGAGTAATAAGATATGTGAAGAGAAGATCGTGATTTCTTCACTGTCCTCTCTTCCTACAAGAAGCGTGTGAAAGAACAAAGGACTTGGTTTCCTTTCAACTAAAGGGCGTGATACGGTGTGAAATTTGCTGGTCTCAGTGGCACGGGTGGAAATTCTGCCATGAATTTCAGCCATATGTTTTGTGCAATATTCCATGAATAGAAAGAGTGGTGATTTTTTTTTTCTGGAAGGCATAAATACAAAGTTTGTTTAAAACAAGGTTACCTGAATCAGAGAGCACATGAGGTGTAATCTTTCCTGAGAGTTTTCTTTATCCTTCAAATATCCCCTTGAAATTGTCTCTCTTTAACTCTTCCCAACATGTATTCAGCTTTTGACGCTTACTGGTTTTATGACATTTGAAGAAGAGCTTGTCTCCAAAGGCTTTTCTGCTGTGCATCTGTATTAGTTCACGTAATAAAGAGAGTAAGCAACTTTACCTCATAGACGGAAAATGTGACTACAAAGCAAGGCTAAAGTAGGAATTTTCTGTGTATGAGATCTTCAAGTTGATTGTTCTAATAGCAAATTGAGTGTATTAACTTGCAACCCTTTCCTTAGACATACGTATGTCATGAGACAGTATTTCAGTTCCTTTGTTTTCCTTGTATTTCAAGTAAGATGAGGATGCTAGATTTTGAAGAAGAAGCTGCTTTGGTAATGTTTTGGGTTGCTTTTTCTAATATCTTATTGCAGCTGTGTCAAAAAGAAAACGTAGAAAGAACAAATGGTCTTCAGGTAGTATAACAAAGAGGAGAAAGATTTTTCAATTCAATAAAGAGAATAAAATTCCAGAAGAAGACCAAGATGAAGTAGAGAGTGGTGGAGAAGAGTGTGTGGAAAACGATGTTTCTAACGTGGATCAAACTGAAGTTGAGCTCCTACAAGATTCTTGTGTGGAAGAAAGTGAAAATGTTCTTCAAGAACGACAGACAAATGGCTATGAAAATAAATCTGAGACAGAAAACGAGAAAATTGTCTTTGAGGTGGCTAAATCTGGTTTTGAAAAGGAGAGTGCCAAGTTTCCTCGATATTTAGAGCTAAAAAAGAGAAGTGAAATTTCTGGTTCCCAAATAACAGAAAGTTTTGAAGAGGGCGATTCAAATGGTAAGTGAAAGGTCCAGCAGGCCATTTAGCTACTTTTTTGTTGTTGTTGAGGGGATTGCACTATTTACTAATGTTACCCTTCTTTAATTTCATTCTGTTATTTCTGTTATATTTCCCTTTAAAAATCAGTGCACTATGTTTCTTTCTTAATGATGCTGTCCCTCTAATTATGCTAGCAAACTCATAGTTTTCCTGAGCTGCTGTTCTCTTGATTCTGAAGTCAGTTTTTGTAATTCTATCTACTTGAAAAATGACAATCATTTGCTTTCTTTTATTGTATGAGCATCTTTCTGATAATGAGCAGCTTAAGAAAAAAAGCTGTGCCTCAAGCAGTGTAGATCCAGTCGTATGTGGCAGAGAAGACTTAGGTCCTGATGCTTGCTTCTAATGTAAGATGTGTTTCCTAACCTAAATTGCTTTCAACTTCTCTAACTGTGTAGTGCTATAATGGGCAACACATGACTAACTTTTTTTTCTGCTCTTACCGTGCCTTTTTCACTGCCACTGCTTTTTATCTCAGTTGCTAATTTTTATTTTCTATTCTTTTGCTGGATATAAAGTAGAAGTCAAGTATTTCTCAGTGAACAAATAACAGTTCTGTGTCACTGTAGGGAGAGATTGTGTACCGGTTGTGGGATACCTGATTGATACTGTATGCCAGATAAACAGAGATCGTGACTTAAAGAGATTTATTGCATTCCAGATACTTGTGTACTTCACATGACTCGGGCTAGACGTTCTCAGGTAGAACAGCAGCAGCTTATGAGTGTCGAGAAAGCTATGGAAATTCTCGCAGAGCCAGCTTCCCCACTTATTGTGGATTACAAAGATCTTAAGGTATGTCTGTTCTTTAGTTTTCTTCATACCAAAGTAGGAAGTCGTCTTGTTATGTGTGTAATTGTAAATTAGGTCAGTTATCAACCATTGCCAATTAAAACAATTTACTGGAAGGATATATAGGTTGTGAAATAATTCTGTCTATAACAGACTATGGCTGTTTTGTTTCCACACCTGATACAGATTGCTGTGGACTGCTGTTCTGGCTTTTGGTGAACTTTTAGGAGACCAGATTCTCTTGCTAATCTTTTAAGTTAGAAGGGTCTTCTTCAATGTTAAAAGAGTCAACTAACAGCCAGCTAGTACTGTTAGTTATTAACATTATCTTCACAGCTTTTAGATGGGTCTGGGTGTTTTTACATACTTTGTACTAGGAACACAAAAAGGACTTTTGTTTCTAGCAGTGATTATTTTAAACCCGAAGTTAGCAGTCTGAATTGAAATAAAGCTAATCATGGGCAAATACCTTTTTTTTTTTTTTTTGAAATTCTTCAAACACGTAGCATTCCAATTTTGCCTTGATATACTATACAGTGTAAATAAGGGTTTGTTAGTCCCTCATAGAAGGGCAGTAGTAATCCTAGGCTACAGTCGCAAAAGTGGTTACAAGCGGGCCTAACTGCAGGAGGGTAAAAGAGGGCTCCTCTGCTTGCACTGCAGAGGTTGAAATGAAGAACCTGAACTTCATGGGACAGCAGAACGAGCATCTTAAGAAAATTGCCAGGTAGAAGTCCTGGAGGCAGGCCCAAAATGGAGAAGGGCTGCTGTTCGCTTGCTGTGCGAAGGGAGTAT